TTGCATCAACTATCAGTGAATGCCGTTTGCCACCTGCTGATCTCTTCTATCACGGTACCAACCTGATTAGCAATACTAGCCCAAAAAATCTCAAGGCATATTTCTGCAACTGACCTAAACAAAGCCCACACCGAAGTGATTGTTTACTGTGATCTAGCCGCGTACAAGTAAGGGTTTTATCCAGCAATTAATCTAACGAAAATGGGGTATGTCGTGTTCAGTGTAGCTTTGGACGTATGCCTAACGAGAGTGGATGCAAGTATTTTAATGTTATGTTGACTTCTAAAAAGTAAAGTGAATGAGCAGGAAAGTCGACACGAGTACAGTACAGTGCAAACATTGAAAAACACTTGTAAGGTTAATAAAAGAAAGTGGAAATTTACTGACACAATTTAAGGATGCCATATTTTGCCAATTTTCGCCGATTCATGACATCGGTATCATCCAACCAGTCCTTTTGGTCGGTGCACCTGCGTGAGGTGGTCGAGGTTGAGGGAGACACAATTTTGGAGTCGGCGGTGAATGCAGATGTAAACGTAGAGACAGCTATGGAGGTGAAGCTCATTGAACCAGCTGTTTCAGTCGAAACGGGTTGAGTATCGTTAGCTTGGAACAAAAAAAGAATGTGAGGGAGAATGTAGCTATAATTAAACATAGCACAAATTCCATAGCCAGCAGTGAAATTCGGGTTGCAAGGAATTCAGTAAATAAAATCTGTACCAGGTAGACAATTCACAACCATCAAAGAGCAAAGTAAGCACAGTGTACACACGAGCAATTTCCAATTTCCAGTGACCTATTCTGCACATAGCTTAGTTGTGAAAACTAAGGTGAACTGAGTGACTGAGTTTGCAACCGTAAACGTGATAACGGCCCTGTTGAGGGCCACCACTACCAACACCACAAAGATGATTGTTGTCCAGTTGATGTGGGTGGGCATGGACTGACGACTGACTGACCGACCGACCGGCTGAAAGTTGCGTGTTGGAAACCTGCGTTACTGCCTTGGGTATAGGGGCTGTAGGGATGGCCTTTGGTGCCGTGGTGTCATGCAGAATTAGGAATGAGTGGGTTTGAGTGAAGTGCGGTGCTTTCGTTCCGTATCTTGCATGCGCTCGTACTTCTTGGCCGCCAGGCGGTGACAGGGTAGGTGGTGTCTCACTAAGCAAGTCGCACTTATGAGAAGTCGGTTGAGCCAAGCCGCTCGAACCATAGCCAGGTGTGAGTTAACCATTTAGCCAAGTAGGTGTGAATGGAGCGGGTGCGCAGGCGCGAGTGGAAGAATGTGG